GTTTTAATTTTTCATTGTATAAAACACATCACAAAATCTCACTTGCTAGCTATCTTTTTCCGTGGTTGAAGCACTCTGCTCCCCCGGAGAAAATATTGTAGGCTGCCTTTAATTGAAAATTGTCCTATGAGGTCGTCGTCAGATAAATTATCGTGATCCATGGCGACAACATCTATTCTCAACGATCTCTGTAAGGGGTAATACAAAGATTAAATACAATGCGAACGTGAGCCCTGCCAGCACACGGCCCTGGCCTGGGTGGGAGTGGGGGCGGGGCAATCCGGGGCTGAGGACCTTTATGGACGAACTATATTTACCGTACGAATTTTTCGGTATCTAATCCTTTTGGTTAAAAAAGTATCAAGGACCATTATTTTGCGCCTCGTCCTTTAACGACACAATAAAATCGGGGGTTAAAATGAGCAAAAAACGCGTGTCGCTGCGGAAGTATTTTCTGGAAGCGGGACAATACGGGTTGAAGTCCCCATCTTCGAGCCCCGCCGTCCAATCCCGGGACCAGAGGGTGGGGCTCGAGGACGGCGACTTCAACCCGTATTGCCCCCTACAGGAAAAAAGATAACGGCCGATAGTCCAACCTATAAACAAGTTGGAGTCAAACATTATCGGTAACGTAAACAGGAAAGTCGCTGAACCGGGCAGTTGGAAATTCAAAGTTAGTCTACAACTACTTACGAACGAGCACACGATAGAGATATCCCTTCTCCCTACTGAAGACAAGTGACAACCTTTAAAAAACCCAGCAAAAGCTAGGCATCTTTCACGTTTTTTCAAATCCACCTTTACTATTGAAAGTGCATTTACACTTACATTATGGCTTAGATAGCAGTAAAATCATTGGTAATGCATCTTTTACCGAAGAAAATATTCGTTCGTATTTGTTGGTGCTGAATGAATCGAAATCACCCAGTACCGATGACATTTCGCCAAAATTACTTAGTGAACTGACTGAGGAAATAGTTAAACCACTTTCTATGCCTCACCAAACCTTGTTCGGAGCCGGTTGTTTACTCGCGGACTGGAAGCGTGTATGGATCATACCATTTTATAAAGGAGGCAGAAAGGTTTCAGACAAAAAATCACGGACAAATAAGCCTCACTTTGATCTGCTGAAAAATTATGGAAAACCTAATTAAGCAAGAGCTGATGTGCCCCTTAGCGTAACAAATCCTGCTATCCGATTCGCAGTATGGATTTTGTGGAGGCAGACCCTGCGTGGCGAACTTGCTCTATTTTTTTAGAACTGTGGACTCCAGCAAGTGACTGAGTTGATTCGCCCTTTAAGTTACCGATAACTATTTTACTCTAGTAGAAACTACAAGTAGGAAAAGATTCCTGAGGAGTTATAATTCCAAGCACTTTAGTCGGTGATTTCATAGTTTAATTAAGCAATACCAGCTGGCTAAACAAATAAGCTTTATCATCAGCATTTATTAGACAAAAATAAGTGGGGAACGTACCGGCAGTGGTGACCGAAGTGGGACAACTATGCTTTCGTAATTGACCAATTCTATGGAAGTCCGCTCCATGTAAATAGGTGTCTTTTTTTCCATAAGGTCACATCCTCTGCATAAAGCCCGAAATGTATTAGATAACATATTTCCAACAGAAACACGCTTTTTCTATGTAGGTAGGTAGTTTTGATTTCTGCCATACAATCTATTTACCAAGCAAATAAAAGTCGAACAAATATACCACTGGTCCCAGAGAACGCCTTCCTGTCTTTTAAATAAAAGTATGCATAGTTATGAGCTCAAAGTAGCTAAAGAATGCATGTAAAATTTTCGTTTATGGATAGAAGTCTTAAGCTGTGTTAAATGCCTGTACTAAAATACATGGTATATATTAATGGGCATTCGAACTCTAATTAGCCTTTCAGTTTAAAATGTTCATAAAGGACAAGGAATCGAAAAAGCAAAGTATATTTTGCACAGAGGAATGAAAACGAGAGCAATCTTACGTGTTTCCATTGGAGCTTATACAGATTTCAAAATAAACATCACACTGTAGGTCGGTGAACCAAAGATCGCATGGGAAACCATTTTTAAGACGATTTTTCGGGTTCCAGTACTTCAGCATCAAGAACAAATCTGCAACAAACTACATGAGGAATAAGTAGGAATGTCAGAAGTAAGGCCTGACTATCAAGTATTCGCACGCCTCACTTTACTATAAATATGAAACTTCCCGGACTTCTGTTCAACAATCCCTTCAGCAAAAACTTATATAAAAACTGAGGTTCCTATTAAATAAACCAAACATATGCATTTTGAAAATGTCTAACCATTTGGATACGCAGTCACCAAAAGCATAACTGAATTTGAACGTTCGGCGTTCACTTAAGGACATCCTCACTTAAACGCTTCATTTTGTTAAAGTTAAGTTCGTCGCCCACCACCATCACCCCTAGCCCCAGAATTCTGTCTCAGGGGACCGGCGAAATTAGTATAGTTACGTTTATAAGTTCAATTTTAGTTATTTCAGTTTGATATATAGTAGTCATTTAAGTAGATTTATCTAGCATTGGTGGTTTATAACTAAGCAAAAACTAAAATTAAGTTGTTAAATTCAATAAAAAAACAAAAAAGTGAACTAAAACTAATGAACATGAATGTAACCACAGGACTAAGGATGTGGGGAAATCTAAGGTGGGCGACCAACTAAACCGTTTCCCTCCCACCCTAGGACGTGTATAGTGTGAAAAATACATAAATTTAGGTTGCTCATGCTTTTCTCTAATTATTTGCTTAGTTCAAGCAAGGAAACGCTCTTTGCTCCAACCGGTCAAAGTGCCGGTTCCGCTCATCACGAGTATGCACTTATTTCTCCTTTCCTAAAAGTCGTAGAAAGGTCAATGAACCCTTATCGAAGACCCGCCCATTTCTCGCTCGTGTGTATTATTCAGCTGATCGCACAAGAAAAGATTATAAAATATTCCTTTTGGGTGTTCTGCATTTTCCCAAATAAGTCTGAACTAGATAGAGGAATCTGAGAAATATTATTTCTAGCTATTTTACTACCGTTGGCCAACTATGTATACATTAAGCAGAACATGAGTGACCTTGGA